GTTTATTTATCGGTGGACACGTTGCGACTCGAGGTGAATCCACAGTTGACATCATTAAGCTTCTCCAGCGATCACTATGTGGAGTTTCCATCGAAAGCCAGATCCGTTTGCCTGGTACTTTGCACTGCTTAGACAGGGGCTACCAATCAGAAGTTGTCAATGAACACATTCAGAGCGTCGGAGGAAAACTTGTTGGCACTTTCAAGCGAACAACCAAATTCCCTTTCACTTATGGAAAGACGGCTACTCCATTACAGCGAGAGGTTGAAGAAAAAGGTGAAAAATCTGCCTACTGGGCTGCGCTTAAACGTTCTGGGGGTAAGCGCACTAATTCGTCAGCGGAACAGGCCTACGCATTAGGGTATCGAGATGGACTTGGCAGTGTGACTCTTTGTTTTACAACAGAACGAGAGTTTGGGCCTGGGAAATGGTCGTTCGTGTGTGCTAAAAAGGATAAATCGGACGATGCACCTGCTGAAACCAATTTTTCCGCATTCGAGAATGGAGTAATAATACTTACGAAAGCGCAGCGCACACCTGATTGGTTTTTGTTGCGCAAGTTTCGTGCCACTGGATCTGTGGTTAGCCGAATATTTAACTACATCGCTAAAGATGCCCCAGATACAGCGAATCCTCGTGATCCAGTGACAGATCCTGACGTCGAAGCGATTATTATGCTTCTATCTCTCCGAACAAATCAGAGACACGTTGCGCCTCCTGCTGATATTAGTACTATCGATCTGGAGAGCAAGTCACTGGAAGAACTAAAGGTGCTATGCAGGGAGCGAAGTCTACCCATTTCTGGTACTAAAACGGTTTTGAAGAATCGTTTACGAGATATTGACACTACAATAAATTCGACTAAATCGACTTCATTGCTTGGCGAAATTTTGTCGGCATGGTTCATGAAGCCTGTCACTTCATCGGCAATGAAGATGGGAACACACAATGAACCAAATATTGCTTCCCACATAAAGAGCTTTCTTCAAAACTCCGGGTTTCAAGTTAATGAGACAAAGTCATACGGATTCCTATGCTTGTAAGCGCTGGCCATACATCATCTATTGAAATTGTTCTAACATGTTATTGTCTAGACGTGATATGCCCTTTGCAGCGTTTTCACCAGATGACATAGCACTGATGACATCAACTATTTGAGGTCATTTTATTTGCGGTCTTGGAATATAAAACAAGGGTAACAGACGAAACTCAGCGGCAAGAAGAAAGCTTAGCTACTTCCTATGGTGCTTTTGCATCGGTACAGCTGGTATCGAGTGGGTACGCGTATAACTTCAAAGAGATTATTCCCGACGCAAGCCACAGAAGTCAAATTTTACACAACATTGTTTGTGGAGGAGTACAAGATGGATTTCTCGTGTACGGTTCAACTACACGAATTATACGAGTTGTACACGTATTTGTTGGAGAGTCTGTTGCGAGTACATACCGTTCTGCGCTTCAAGTGATTTGCGACGCGTACATGAAATGGGTGTACAATGACACAGCAATGATGCCGCATATTCCCTT